AGTCTAGGAGATATTTTTACAAAATAATACAAGACTTAAAAGACACATTTGCTTGTTTTCTTTTCTAAATCCTTTAGAAAAATACGTATATCATAAAAATGTCCCTAGACTTTTCTTGTGAGGACATAAAATATAGTATTGTTTGTGTAGTTTATCATTATATACGTATTATGGGACATATACAGGGTGTTCTAACATAAACAACATTCTAAATAGGTATTTTATTATCGAAACAACAATTGTAATGAAGTAATATAAATGTATGCGACGTAGAGGTAATATCTTTTGAGTTAAATTAGCATTGCTTTTTTAAATTACAATCTTTATTATTATTTCATTGATAATTTATTAGACTTGATTTAACGATTGTTAATTTAATCATAAGGTTAATAGTAAAATAAAAAATAAATGACACTAGAGGAATAAGAAATAAACGTTTTATTAATTTCTCCAAATAATTAACTAATTTTTTCGACACGTCTTAAAATTTCTATTAATAAATATAGGTATATAGAATAATCTTACTCTAAAGAAAAGCCTAATTATGTATCGCTGAAAACTGATAATATACACGCCGCTCTGACGTTCAATACTACACTGAGGCTTTTAGAATAACGGGTCAGAATAACGACTTTTGAAGATTCCCGGCGGCGAGGCCTAGCAACAAGGAGAAATAAGCCACTAGTTATACTGTGGTCATATATTGAAGTCGGCCAGATGTTGTTAAATCATGCATATTTTACTTTAGTCTAGTGATAGGTAGTTGATCGGTCACGATGTTTCCGTAACTGACCGGATCATCGTGACCGATCAAAATGAATCACGAAACCGGTAATTTTTAAAAATGAAAAATAAAACTGCCATTGGATGTGTCTATTTTCTCATCAAAATAGTGTGTAATACTTGTATAAATGAGGCTTATGTTGAAGAGAATTATGCAAATTAAAATTGTTTGGCATTTTATTTTTTCACGCCCATCGTCTAAACCGATCTCACCTAAATATTTCTTCATCACAGATGTTCTTGTTGAACGCTGGCTTTGTTATGAATTTATCCAACGTAACACCTTCTAGAGCTGAGCTCTCTTTGGGAATGAATAATAATTTTTTCACATTATTGGGATATTTTTGGCAATATTTTACTATGTGTTTTGTCAGGCAAGTAGCACGCAGTGGTGGCTGGTGTAATTAAGGTTATGTTATATTTTAATATTGAGGCATGGGACCCAAACGTTATTTTACGGCATGACTATCAAAACTAAATGAAGTTTTGCAGGAAAAAAATGCTGGTTGAAATTTGCGAAAAAGTTGAAAAAATTATGTGCGCTCAGTAGGTTATTTTTTAAACAATTCGTGAAATATTTTTTTTCAGAAACGGGAGAAAAATATATCGACATTTCAAATTTCAAAAAAAAAATATATAATTTTTTTAACTTAAGAATAAAAGCAGCAGGGATATATATGATCTAAACATCACATTAATAAAAAGAGTTAAAGATATGTTAATTATACCTCTAACAAACCTCATCAATCAATACATAAGAATGGATATATATCCTGATTGCTTGAAATTAATTAAGGTTATTCTTATTTTCAAAAAGGCTCAAATGAAGTGATTAATAACTATAGGCCTATCTCTCTGGTACCAGTTATATTAAAAATCATAGAATATCTGTTAAAGAAGCAACTATATGAATTCTTTGAATCAAAAAGTATATTTATAGAAAATCAGTATAGTTTTAGGTCCGGAAAATCAACAGTAGCAGCATCACTTAAACTAATAGAAAATATAATTGAAAGTTTTGAGAAGGGTGAAGTGATTGGAGCCACTTTTTGCGACCTAACAAATTAAAATTTTACAGCATCAGTGAGATGAGCTTAAAGTTGTTGAAAAGTTACCTAACAAACAGGCATCAAAAAACTTTTTATGATGGAGAGTTCTCTGAAAGTAAAGCAGTAATTCATGGGGTTCCACAAGGCTCACTGTTAGGACCCTTGCTCTTTCTAATCTATATCAACGATATTTCTGTTGCTATTAGTGATAGTGAGTTAATATTATTTGCAGATGATACAACAAGAATATGCAACTAGTGTGGAAAGAGGCATCATGGAATTACTGATTACACCTAATCACCTAAGTTTGAACTTTACCAAAACCGAAAAAATGTTTTTCACTGTACGTAAAGATCAAATACATAATTCTCAGTCAGTTAGATTCCTTGGCATTACTTTTGATAATCAGTTGATATTTGATACACATTGAAAATATTAAAAAAAAAAAAATTTAAAAACATATATCTACTAAGAAATCTAAAATTTAAAGCCGACAAAATATTTGTAATATAACTTATTTCTCTTTAAGAAATTCTTTATGCTCTTACTACTTGTTAATCTGGGGATATTCTCCTCATGCAAATAGAGTATTTGCTTTACAAAGAAGAGCTATTAAAGTAATTGCGGGCTTGGACTATAGAGCAGATGTTACGCAGACAATTACTGACATGAGTATATTAGCAATTCCTCCCCAATATATTTTTAAATATTTGCTTTATATAAAGCAAAATCAGGATACGTATGGAACCCATGAGGATATTAATGATTATAACACCAGAGGCAAAAATAATTTGGACATAGGATATCTAAAAAAATCATTAATTTCGTCACTATACTATGCTCCAACTTTCTTTAATAAACTTCCAGACGACATACGAACTCTAGATTTTAAGAAGTTTAAAGCCACAGTGAAAGGTTATCTGCTGAAAAATCCATTTTACAGTATTCACAGCTTTATTAACCACACATAGGTACATAGGTATATGTTTAATGCTTAAAATTTAATATGCACTTCAAAATTTTATTATAAGTTCTATTGTTTCTGTTTATTCTTCTGTTATTTTATAATATGTACATTATTTTATAGGCCGTATATTCTCTAAAATTGTATTTTGTTATTTTAAATAGTTTGATACTATTATTTCCTTGTGGACTTGTGTAAGAAATTGTATTTTTTTAACACCAATAAACTACCTATTTATCTATCTTAGTAGCACACATTTAATTGCTATTATATTTCATTACATTATTATTCGTAAATTTCTCTTTATAACAGTCATTATAATGCAGACAAGCCATGGTTATTTTATCTGTCTGCAATAAAGACCAAAAAGTGTAGGGTAGGGGTAACTTTTTATAAACAACAAAATTTTGTTGAAGAATTAAACGATTTATTTGACATTGCTCATGCTAACGCCCTCAAGATAGAGGAAGACAATAAGTTTTTGCTCAATCAAAGGACAAAAAGGTGACCAGGTTTCATGTATGGATAGGAAGCTGACTGAACAGGAAAAATGAATGAAGCAAAAGAATATTGCACCAATGGAGAAAATTACTACAACTTTTGAAAATGCAACCTAATTAGACACCTCCAAGTCATCAAGTAACAACTCGCATGCAAGCTCCCTCTGTGATGCTGAAATACCTGGATTCTCAGAACCAAAAAAGGGAAGACTAGTGGGATTACAAAACATAATAACTAAAACGATAGTTGCAGCTTTGGACAAGTGTATAGTAAGTGAGAGAGAAGCAGGCCACATATAAATGGCTGTCGAAGCATTATAATATAATAAAATGAATAATTTAGACACAAAACTTTTTTTAATTCTGCTTGATTGCATTACATCATAATCTAAAATTTTTCTAATTCGAAATATACAACTATAATTGAAATATTTTCAAAGTTTATTTCTATGTACCTAATTTGTGCATATAGATTAATGTCAATAGATACATCTAAAAAACAAATTTTTGTTTTAGTCACTGATTTTAGAATTATGTATTAACTGAAGTGTGATTTTATTGATTAAAATATTAGGTCGTCATAAAAATGTCTCTCATTTTCCGTCTGAGTATTTTCCCACTAGGAGTTTTTGGTATAAATTCAACAATTTTAATCCCACCTCTCAATTTATGCCATTCTGACACTTTTTCGGATACAAACTTTTCAATTACATCTGGAGAAACTTCCATATTATCTTTAAGAATTACGCATGCGGCTGGATGAAATTCGTCCATTTCATGAGGAATTCCAAACACGACAGCCTCTTTAACAGCTGGATGTTCTTGTAAAAGAACCTCTAGAGATGTGGGTATGACATGCCATGACTTATATTTGAACATTTCTTTAATTCTGTCTATAATATAGAAACATTCGTCTTCGTCGTAATACCCAATATCACCAGTTTTTATAAATCCATCTTCGTCGTAGTTATTAGACGAGTCCATTCTGTAATAGCCCTTCATTGCATATGGAGATTTGAAACATATTTCGCCCTTCTGGTTAGGACCGAGAAGTTGTCTTGTATCTATGTCTACCACCTAGAAAGATAATTGTTTCAAAATACTTTCGGTTTAAAAGAAATAAGACAGTTATTTGTAATTTTTAAGAAATGTTCGTTATTACACATGAGAATATACATAGTTGCGGATCTTATATTTTATAAATTATATTGTCCAGAATCCTTCTGTTATAGCGGTAACGTTCCTCTAATTGGGTTACCATATTATACAGTAGCAGTATGCATTTATGCATCTCAGGAGGGATATTAACCTTATTCTAGAAATGTACCCGTAAGAAAAAAGAAAAGGAGTAAGGCCAGGTGGTCTGGAGACCAGAGAAGGCCACCAAACAGTTAAATGATATTATTGGAAAATAACACGTCAGATTTATTGCTGTGTAGATCCGTATGTTTAAATGTCACTGTAGGTACCACAAGTTTTATCCTGTTACTTCGAGGCTTCAGGTTTATGTTCATTAACATAATTTCTTATTAAGCGTGCATTTGAAAATAATAAAAGTTAGGAATGGATAATTCCTCACGAGATCCAAGTGTAAGATTAGTTTCATATGAGTGTGATAAAATTACTATTAATTTTATAATTACGTTAACATAAAGCTTGAGAAATAAGAAAAATGGTATTCTTGTTACTTTTTTTTTAACATATACTTTTGGTTTGATCGAGAGGCAAGAATATTTGATACTCATTCAAAAGTCCCGGGTTCAAATCCCGGCCATGGCATTGGGATTTTTCTGTGAGACAGATTAATCGTATTATACCCAGATATTGGATGTGTGTCCGTTGTCTCTAAATGTGTAGCCCCCTCTCGCACAACGTCAGTTTAGAGATACAGGGGGTAGTATTATCTGTTTTTTTTTTTTTTTTTTTTTTTTTTTTCGGTTTCCCGATGCCGGTCAGTCCTCCCGTGGCCTCCGACGCCTCACGGGAGTCGCGCCGGCGCATCAACTACAGCCACTCCCCCACATCCCGCAGGGTTAGTGACTGTAGATACCAGGAATCGTGTGCCCTAAGCAGACGGAGAGAACCCAGAATGACCGCCTTCTGCATTTGACCTGCCAGCCACTCAGCTGGTTTTTGGCAGGCCGGTATGATCTTCAGTTCCGAGAGCAGCGTAGGCTTTATCCCTCCGAGTACACCGATAATAAGGACGACCATTTTGACCGAGTAGCCTGGGTACAGCACTTGGAGCTCGTACCGGAGATCGCGATATTTGGTCCGTTTCTCCTCCTCCTTCAAGGTGATGTTTTTCCTCCGCGGGTGCCGAGAACTCGATAACATACATCACCTTGAGTTGATGGTCGAGGAGGACTATGTCAGGCTTGTTGGCTTGGATTAGCCTGACAGTCGGGAACGAGTAGTTCCAGTAAATCCGGCATTTCTCGTTCTCGACAACGGACTCAATATCTCCGGGGACGTAAGGCAGCACTGGTGTCTGGTCTACCCCGTACGAGTGCCTTAGATGGTAGTATAGCACTCGTAAAGCCGCGTTATGTCGGTGGATGTAGGCCGAAATCGCATATATGGGGCATGCAGAAAGTAAGTGCATGAGCGATTACGGCGCCTGATGGCAGGTCCTGCAGTTGATGTCAGGAACCTCTACACGCCACACGCGGCTACGGTAGACCAAGGTGTTGATAACACCATCTTGTCACGCCATAATGAATCCCTCGGTCTCCGACTTAAGCCCTGCTGACCTTAGAAAGGCGAAGGTCAGCCTGGTCGATAAACCCAGTGTTTCTATGTTCTTATAGAAGACACCATGCTGGGGTTTATCGACGTGCTGCCGAAACAGATTTTCCTGTTCGGCAGCTCTTATTCGGGCTTTCAGACGATTTGGCTGAAGTTCGGTGACTGACTCAACATCAGCACCTCGCCCGCCTCCTCGCCTGATGTCAAATGCGAGACCGAGTTCATCTGCGGCTCTTTTTGCTGCCTTGAATAATCCTGCTCCCACTCCTACAGTTTCGTGATGTTTTACGAACCGCAAGAGGGGATCTGAGCTCCTGAGTATGTTACATGCCATACTCAGTACTACTTTGCCATGCGTACACTCCAGGCTCAAGAGTCCTCGGCCCCCCGTTGACATGGGAGGTACACACGAGGAACGGACGATCTAGGATGAATACTTCTGTGAATATTCATCATCTTGCGGGTATCTCTGTCTAATTGGCGCAGCTCATCTACCCTCCACTTTACTACTCCGAAGGAGTAGAGCAGAATCGGAACGGCAAGCATATTAGTTGCAGACACCTTGTTCTTCCCCGAAAGTTCGGAAGACCAAATCTTTCGGAGGCGGTGTCTGTACTTGCCGCGGAGAGATTCCTTTATTTGTGTTACATCCTGGATGTGCCTTGTTGCACACCCAGGTATGTATAGGTCTCTCCGGCATCCAGATGTCTTAGGATGCTTCCGTCTGCGAGCTGCGCATCTTCAGGGAATTCCCGCATCGTCCTCTCTTGAGGTGGACGACTGCACATTTGTCCAACCCGAACTCCATACCAATTGCCCGCGTATATTCTTCGACCACCCTAAGAGCGTTTTGTAGTTCGCGCTCTCCGGAGGCATAAAGTTTAAGGTCATCCATATAAAATAGATGGGTGACCTTATGCCTCAGGTCGCTGGGTGGCCCACATTGATATCCGCGGGTTTGGCGGAGCCCAACAGACAACGGCAGCAGTGAGATGCAGAAGAGGAGAGGACTCAGGGAGTCACCCTGGAAAACTCCTCTCCTAAATGCCACCTGCCCTGTCGTGACCCGCTGTGCACCTGATGTTATGGTGAAGCGGGTCTTCCAGAGCGGCAGCAGCTGTTCTATGCATCTCACTAGTGGTGCTGGTACCGCAAGACATTCGAGCAAGTACAACAATAGCTCATGCGATGTTGTATCAAATGCCTTGCGGTAATCAATCCAGGCCATCGATAGATTCCGCTTGTATTGCACAGAATCCTGTGTAATACAGCGGTCTATCAGCAGGCTGTCCTTGCAACCTGCCATGCCCTTCTTGGCACCACGCTGTTCGTGTATCTGCTGGAAGACCGGATCAACAGACCTCAGCGTCCTAGCATACAAGATACGTGTAAATATCTTGTAGCAGGAGTTAAGGCAAGTGATCGGCCTATAATTCCTCGGGTCTGAAAGATCGCCCTTTTTGGGGATTAGCACAGTACGTCCCTCGACGAACCAGTCCGGAATCTGCTGCCCCTCGTTCAACCATGAGTTGAAAACTCGCGCCAGACGGCGGTGAGTGGAAGGAAATTTCTTCCACCACCAGTTGTTAATGCCGTCTGGGCCCGGGGCAGCGAAGTTCTTGGTACCAACAAGTGCTTGTTGGACTTCCTCCGTACTGATTGCCGGGCACACTTCTTCTGGCTCTTCAAGATGTCTGTGACACAGAGCCTCGAAGTGTGCAATTGATGGAGTGTCGCTATTGAATGGACGCGGCGTTTCGTAGATTCCCTTCCAGAAGGTTTCGACATCTTCTACAGTCAGCGGATTCTCGACAACACGCTGTGGCTCTTGAAAGAGGCGGGAAGGATTCGTACGGAACAAATTGTTTTGTTCCATACTCCTCACCCGCCTCTTCAATGTTTTCTTTATCGCCATGAGCGCTCGGATCCTATCTAGACAGTGCTGCTTGATGGTAAGCATCACTGTCAGATTTAGAGTATGGTGTTGACGTCTTAATCCGGCAGCTATGCGCCGGATCCTGGCAGTAAAAAACTCTACCAGTCGTCTTATATTCCACCACACTCTGGATCCGAGAAGCGTGTTGTCTGGCCGACTGTATCTTGCCTTCGATTTTTTGTACACGCCGCTTGGCTTTCTCGATCCCGTGATTGGTTGACCTCTCACGGGGGACGAGTTGCTTCGCGGCGTTGTACACGGTACAGTTGATTTGCCAGATGTCTACATCTTCCGGAATTTCCTCATCGATGACTGCGTCCATTCTAGCCAGGTCTTGTGGCTTTAGGTTAGCCCTGGTGTTAAGGCTAACCCTCGTCCTTAAGTCTACACCGTGAACTCTAAAGGATGTTCCCCATCAGCTGGTAATTGCCGCGGTGGGACTGCGGCTGGCAGTTCTTCTAGCTGACGGGGTGCCCTTACGTAACCTGTCCTGAGCAAAAAGGATACTTGATCTCTCAGATGTTGTTGAGAGAAGGCGCGATGCTCTGGATGCATTTCGCACCAAAGTGCATGCAATCGCGCCATGTATCCCCTTCGCTCAGGTTCGCTACTCTCGCGGCAGGTCAGCAAGTCATCCCGAAGTTCCCTCGTCCACTTAAAGCGTCCTTGTCCGTTGCGGTTGTTATAATTGAGACGTTCCGGTGAGGCCCCTCCCACTTGTCTCTGACCCCCATCCGATTGGGGTCGGTCGTGAGGGGCCCTTCTTCTTAGGTTATAAGGAACCAGAAGGGGTACTAGGTGGTTAGCCTTCGTACCCCCCGGCCGGCATTTGTCAGGCAGAGTTGCCTCTGCCTGTCCAGGGTGGACCAGCGTGGAGGTTGCCGGTCCTTTGGTGTTTATTATTATTATTATTATTATTATTATTAAACGTTGGAAAAGTACATTACTTGAAGAAGGGGAAGAATGTTGCATATTATGTAAATAGCAGCACACTTGAAATCTTGAAATGACGGGATAAAATTATGGTATCTTGCAATTATTTGATCCTCTGAGCTAATCAAAACCAGGTATGCATACTCTAAACTCGTCAATAAAAAAGTATTGGAATTGTCAGAAATAATTAGAGAATTTTATTAGAGATTCTATAATTTTCCCTCTTTTACTTAATTTGAGATAATCTCCTATAAAATGACTTCGTATTTTTATTGGTTTATTTTTCCACAAAAATTCTGTTATAATTTAGGTATAGAAAGAATATTTGACAAACAACTATTGTATTTCAAAAAAATATGTGTAATGTTATCGTAAACAACATATTTTCCTTTCGACATACACAAAAAAAATAAATGACTGACAAATATTTTCACTACCCTATGGGATAAATGAAAACAGAAATATTATTTATCTCTATATCCGTTTATTTATTTTTAAGATTCTCAAGTAATTTTTCGGATAAGGAATACAGCGAGTATAAAATTTATTTGTAAAGAAATGGATACGTTGATTATGTCTTTAAAAGACGCAAAGGAAAGGTTTGTGTTTTTTTAAAATCTAACAATTGACCCTTTCTGCTTATTCTCAATCCATATAAAGCGGACCAGATGGCCTGTTATTTAAGAGTCTTTTGAAGAGAAGAGTAATATAAACATTGTGAATTTTCTTTGAATATACTTGTATTACAGTAATCTCATTTCTACACATAAACATATAGGTGTTTAGGAACATTCTTTTTGAGGGGAGGGGGTGTCAAAATAAACTTACAAAAGTGATATCCGATCGACACTTTATTGATGACTAAACGAGGTTGGAAACTAGCGACTTTTACTTACTTTAAGCTTAAACTTTCATCCTACGTGAGGTAATATTTTGAGCATTACATGTAAAAAATGTATTACTAAGAGAACAGAAAAATCATTTTGAGGAATATGGTAATATACATGAGATTTCATTTAAGAAAAAAAACAGTTTTGTATATTTTGGAACTAATAGTGAAATTGACTGTCTAACCAGGTTTTTATACTTAATAATTCTGTATTTTATACTGTTTAGTTATGCATTCGAGGACATTTTTTTTTTTTGTTATTTGAAGTAAGAT